TGAGGGAATCGGAATGTGGTTTCTAACTAGATAAACGGCAAGCCTTTGCATTCTCGTGAAAATAAAACTAAAATACGCACAAACTAACAGACAAAAGTCTGGAAAATACTTTGAGACTATATTCATACTACTAACAATCTGACTACGCCAAATTTAGCGCAAAAACACATGATCGCAAGGGCAAATCTGGTGTGTTGTTACCTGAGTCTTGTTAAAAGGTGGCCCGTGAGTTTAATTAAGCATGTAAATCAGGCCCGCGTGTCGCCAGAGGTTGCCCATGCCTGAATTGCTGCCTCAGCATGATCATCCAATATCAGATTTGCCAGCGTTAAAAAATTCCGAACAAAAATCAACGAAAAATACAAAGTTTTGGAGAAAAGATATGTTAATTTCGAAATCTCGTTTCCTCACAAAAAAAAAAAAAAGAAAGATCTCGAACTAAATAAGAGGAATGAATATAACCAAACGCAATAAATCAACTGTTTGCAGCAGTTCTCAATACGATTTATACTGCAGTAGTTGTACAGAAAATCGAATTCGACTAACGTCCCCTACAGCGATTAGTCCTCACAGCAGGTGCTTCTTCAATGCTGTACGTTAAAATACATGGAAATAACATGAAATAGCTTTGGAAGCTGCGCAGCAATCTGTCATAACTTACTTTATTAACGATGAGGAACATGATTGCTTTGGGCACAAGATCCCGAATAGTTTTTGTAACAATTCGCATATACGAGTCCACCAAATTACGGATCGTTTCCACTTGTCGTTCCAATTGCGGGTCAAGCGAAGTTTCTTCAGCTGCCATAGCAGCCTTTAAAATAACATTGTGCAGTGTTTAAGACATACTTCCAACGACTGTCATCAATTTAACAATTAATACTCATAAATTAAAGCATAACAGCAGTGTTGCGAAAGGATAAAGGTGCTAGCAGCATGGAAACGAAGATGGTGACTAAACCCCCTTCGCCTTGCCCAGTTGCCCTTCGGTCCCCTGTGATATGCAAATGTCCCGTCTCTTGACTCAAGTTCCCCCTCCGTTATATTTAATGTGGCGATTAGAAATGAACTGGAAACTGTTCTGGCGTCACAAAAAACTGAAGAAACCTCGCTGCTTGGGGCTGCTGCCACTCTACCACTCTTGTAACTGTCCGGTTGCAGCTTGGAGCTGCCACCGAGTTATTTCGCGGTTTGTCTGTTTTCTTGATTTTTTTAGTGCTGCGTTATTTTACTAATAAAGGATTGTTTATTAATTTGTTTGTGCGCTTCCCCACAGCCACCCAGGCCTCGGTCAGCCCTCCTCGTTACAGAAGCGGCCTAAAGATTAACAAAAACACCTACTGCGCTTGTATCCAATATAAAGAGAACATGATTTTCGAGAAGAAAGTACGAAGTTTAACCTGTGAATTCCTGAGAATTTCAAGTGGGACAAACAGCGAAATGAATTAACAAATAAGGCTGGACATCACAGTATAACGAAAAAAGGCATTACTTCTGCACAACACTTAGAAGATTCTATCCCACTACCGATAAAACACTTGACAGGGAAAGATTTGATGAAAATGAAAATTTCGTTTAACAGTTTTCAATATCAGTAAAAAAATGATAAAATCAGGGATGTGCCGAAGGCATAACGACAGCAAAACAACAAAGGGAGGAGCACGAGGAAGTGATAAAGTGTGTGGCACTGTGAGAAAAACCTATGCTGTATTAGTATGACAAAATGGCAAGACTGCTTTCGTAGGAATGGTCAATTAAGGAGTACAAGAATTCGATGTAAAAGAAAGAAATTTTTGTCGAAGAATTGCGGAAGCAAGCCGACTTCGCTAAAAAAAGTGAAGTTCCGTTAAAAACGAAAGAAAAAAGAGTCTAAAAAAGAAAATTTATTGCTAAATGGCAAATGGTGGCGAAAATAAAAGATGCTCTGACAAGAGATCTACTTAAATTTTGAACGTGAGAGATGTTTCTCCCACACATAACAAAGAAAAAAAAAAACTGCATTTTCTTTTTGCTTTCGAAATAGCAGTTACAGTATTCGAAAGGAAAGCCTTACATCGCCGTCTTCAGTGGGCTTTTCTTTTTCCGGATACACGCCAGCGCGAAGGAATGATGCCTTCCAGGCGTCCACTTCATCCAGATTGCTGGCACTTAGCTCCAGCTGCTTATAGTCTTTGTAGATATTCCTGCAAAGATGCGTAAATTAGCAGCATGTTGATCGTGAATCGGTGCGCCTGCTGTGCATGTGCCATCATGCAAAACGAAGCTGATCAAATGCATGTGCTGGCGGACAGTGATTAACAAATAACGAAGCCAGGTCATAATTAAGCAGTGTGGGGAAGTAAGGACAGGTAGTCTTTACTCTCTGATGTACACAACCTGCAGTTATCATAAAAAAGTAAAATTTTATGACTACATTTTGTGACGAGCAAAGATCTAAGGCATTTTTCCCAAGTG